ACCTCACTGACTAAATAATACTATATTAAAGGAAATAATTTAGACACACTTAGATAAAAATTTATTAAAAAATAAGTTATAATATCAAAATAATAAACGCATAAAAATGAAAATAATGAAAATTTCCCACAGGCACTAAAGAAACAGTATTGACACATTACTTTGGAATTCAGTATATGCACAGTAGCCCAACCAAACACAAAACAACAAAGCAGAATGCACTGTGCGTATTGATCCGTGCACTCAACACCACACATGCTTTGTTTACCTGAAATATACCAACATAAGGCTTTATCTGGAAAACAATGTGGGAGTAATGTCGAAAATATAACTGAAACTTGTCATTGGCAGGGGAACTGTGGAAATGTTATCTCTTTACTGCAGACAATAAAATTCAACATCTTAAAGGTAAAAACCATATTATTCAGAATAAGAAAAAATGCATTATATATGAATAAAAATTAAATTTAAATTAATAGAAAATGTGACTACATGAAAGAATTATAAGCTAAGATCAGGAATTAAAAAGACAAAATCAAAACCTAATGATAGCCTGACTCAGAGCACTCCTGTTAGGAACATGAATATACTGTATAATCTCAAAAGCAAGTGATAATTATTAGACATAAAGCATCAAATAACTGAGAAGCTGACTGGAGGAGCCATTGAAAAGTATTGCTCATTTTGGAAATTTGGATTTTAAAGATGGCCAGTTTAAAGTTGATTTCCTTTTAAGAAAAGTAAAAATTTGACTGGGTACAGTGGCGCATGCCTGTAATCCCAGTACTCAAAGAGGAAGAGGCAGGAGGATCTCTGTGAGTTCGAGGCCAGCCTAGTCAACAAAGCCAGTCCAGGACAGCCAAGGCTGCACAAAGAAACTGAGTCTCGAAAAAGACCAGAAAAAAAAAAAAAAGAAAGAAAAGGAAACATTCAAACTTTAAAGATACATTTACTTAAACATTTAAATATCATTTAAAGAAATGTATGAAAATCATCAAAAAAAAAAAAGTAATATAGTTGGTTTCTTCTCGCTGTAATATGATTGATATTTCTACTGCAGGGAATGCAATTTCCTATATTAACAGTTATTAAAAAGGCTTATTTTCTAACATTGAATTAAAGTTTTAAATAATCTAAAGTTAGCAAATGAAGAAACAGTACATTTGCCAAATTTTCCAAGACTGGGCTGTGGTGTCGGGAGTGTACACAGCACATCAATTACATAAGGTATTTTGAAGGAACGAAACAGAACTTTGTTTCTGGTCACAGTATCTGAGTTACAATGAAAACAGTGTAAGAAACCACAGCTTAAGGAAGTGTGTAAATACAGACCATAGAACAAAATCTATTAGAGAAACAGTTTTATAAACACTGCAACATTTTTATTAGCTAAGAATGTCATATTTTTATTAATTAAGAATAAACTGAATATGATAGGTTAGGTTAGGATTAAAACAAACAGAACAAAGAAATCAGCACAAATTGTAAATATCAGGCTTTCACAAGTAGTCACTTGAGTTATTAAGATTTCAAACTTACCTTCCGACATTTTGATTTAAAATATATGTAATACAGTCATCTATATAATTTTTAAATCTATCGATCTTCATATTGTTAATTCTTTTCAATGGTTAAAAATGCTTTGTGAATAAAAATGATCCAGTCTCTGGAAATTTCTCAAATCTGTCAACACTTTAGTGTAAGTAAAGTAACTCCAACTGGCAGCCAGCACCCAGGAACTAAGCACCAGGCCAGCCTGCAGGAGTAGTAGTTGCTATGCCCAGGCCTGGCTTCAAATGACCATTGTAATTTGGGACATGTCAATGAAGAGCAATGTGGATGGATCGCTAAACTACTAAATCCAAGGTGAATTTTTTTAATGTCATCCTTTTTAAAGCTTTCTAAAACTTCTTTAAGGGGATTTAAATTTTTTAATTTTAATTTAATTTAATTTGTTTTTGTTTTCTAGACAGGGTTTCTCTGTGGAGCCTTGTCTGTCTGGATTCGCTTTGTAGATCAGGCTGGTCTGGAACTCACAGTTATCCACCTGCCTCTGCCTCCCTGAGTGCTGGGATTACAGGCGTGCGGCACTACATCCGGCCTAAGAAGATTTTTTGAAGCAGCTCCGCATCACATATATTTTTTAAAGAGAACGTAAGTTTGTTCAAGTTGATCAAAGAGTTACCCTCTACCTAAACAGTGTGTCTTAGGGCAGTCACAGTATCAAACCCCGCAAGCTTGACAAGTACTTAATACTGATACGATCACAGTAAGAAAGATTCAGAAAAAGTTAAATGGCAAAATATGACAAACTAAAAACAAAAACACATGGAATAATTTAACTAAAATTTATAAGTAACTGAAGTATAAATTCCTAAATTATCAGAATTTTGTCAGAAAGGGCTTAAGGAAAATGACTGTAGAGCTCAGATTGGGAGTGAACTCGGAGGACTTCAAGAGTTTCAGAACAGGCAGAAGAGGAAATGAAACAGTCATCTCAAGTACAAGGAGGGAGGGGGCTGTGGAGGAGTGGGGGTGGGAAGGGTAACAGGGGCTGGGATCAGGAGTGGGAAGAGAAGGAAGGGGTGGGGGAGTATCTCTGTGACCAGGAGGCCCCTGTGGGACTTACAGTGGAGGGAGGGGGACACCAATACCCCATAAAACCTTTCACCCATAATTTGTCTTGCTTACAAGAAGTGTAGGGATAAAGATGGAGCAGAGATTGAGGAAATAGCAAATCAATGACTGGCCCAATTTGAGACTCACCCCATGGGACAGAGCCAACCCCTGACCCAATTAATGATATTCTGCTATGCCTGCAGACAGGAGCCGAGCATAACTGTCTTCTGAGAGACTTCATCCAGCAACTCATGGAAACAGATGCAGAGACCCACGGCCAAACAATAGGCTCAGGGGATTTGTAGAAGAGTGAAAGGAAGGCTCTATGGAGCCTGAGGGGTCAAGGATACCACAAGAAGACCTGCAGAGTAAACCAACCTGGGCCCATGGGGGCTCACAGAGACTGAACCACCAACCACAGAGCATGCATGGGCTGGACCTAGACCCCTACACATATGTAACGGTGTGCATTGTGGTCACCAGGTTGGTCCCCTAACAATGGGAGTGGGGGTTCTCTTTGACTGTTGCCTACTCCTGGATCCCTTTCCCCTAGCTGGACTGCCTGGCCTGGCCTCAGCTGGAGAAGATTCATTCAGTCCTGCTGTAACTTCGGTGGGTTGGTACCCCGTTGGGGCCTCCCCTCTCTGAGAGAAAGGGGGGGATGGAAGCAGGAGATATGAGGGTAAGACTTGAAGGAGAGGGCGGAGGGAGGTTCAATCAGGCTGTAAAGTGATTAAATAAATAATATTCTTTTTAAAAAGTTACAGACTAATAATCCTCATTCATAACTGCAAATAACACCCGAAACAGGTAGAGAAGAGAGCAATTCTATAAGAAGTGGCACGCTGGCCAACACCAGCAGGCTGTGCACTTCAATTGTATAAATTACTGCGCAGTGAACTATATAGTAATTTTCATGCAGTAACCAACTGTCCTACTCTGTGACTGAAGGAGAAGCTACTAAATAGACTGTAGAGACCAGAAAAGATAGACAATTCCACTGTAATAACACTGTAATTATTTTATCAAAGTAGGTTGTAACAGCACGTACAAATACAAACACGTGAGTGTTTATGGTCTCAGTAGGTTAGAAAAGAACTACAAAAATTATTTTTATTTAATTTTATCTGAGTTTCCGATATTGTGCTTAGCAGAAATAAAATTGTAGTCATTAGAGAGTAATGATTCCCTAGGCTTTCCTGTGACTCTCACAGGACTGATCTTTTAATTTCATATGTAGCTAATACTCTCAGATTTCTAACTCAGTCCCCACCCAGCAGAAAGGAGGTGATCCATCTGCACAACAGTTGTTACTGCCAGGGATAATTCTCACAATCAACAGGTAACACCATGGTACTGTGCTTATAATTAGATACTTCTGGAATTTCACTGATGTCAGTCGTCTAACATCAGAAGGAAATGTTAGCACACCAGAAGCCTCTGCCCATATAAAAAGAACACACCTCATGAATAATAGAGCAGCAAGCATTCAGTGTATCACCTATTTGTCAGAAAAAAGCAAAACTAATCTTGAAATCTCTAAGGGGTGGAGAAAAAGCCAGTAGTAGCATTTTTCTATCTGGAAAACACTATCAAATTGTACAAAGCTAATATAGAGTGACCTGATACAATTGCTAGTAATAAGGACATGAACACACTGGTTTTATTTGAAATTAATCAATCCAATGTGTGTGCATGTGTGCACATGGATGTGTGAGTTAGATGTTTGGATGCACATATATGGGTGGGAACATAGGCATTGTGTGCACGTATGTGGAGGCGAAAGTCCAAATGGGCATCACTCCCTATCTCTACTCTTTTGAGACAAGCTCTCTCACCGAGTCCAGTGCTCACCAGAAGGCTGGGAGGGCTGTTCAGTGAACCTCAGAGATCTGCCTGTGGGGGCTTTCACAGACAGGGAACTCTAAGTATGTTCCAGATGCTCAATTGCTAGGAATTTCAGATCAGCACTCTACTGAGAGAGCAGCCCCAGCTGCGGAAACTAAAGAATCCCCATCACCAGATGACGAGGTAGTATGCGTTAAGTATCGGCATACTTTTAGGTATCTACAGTTACATGACCAAGCTCTATTATGTCAGCTATCTCATTCCTCAAGAATTAGACTACAAATATTAATACCCCCAAACAGTTGTATATACTTGATGCTATATCATATACTATGCAATCAAAATGAGTTTAATATTGTGATTATTAGTGCTTATAAACATGTTACTGTTTTTAAATTATTAAAAAGCATTGATAGTAGCCATGAAAACATTAACAAATACTCATTAGCACTTATAATATTGTTTTCAAACTCTGGTGTGCAATCATGATTAGAAACATTCAATGAAGGTCTGATAAAGTTGTCAAAACTTACTTTGCAACCTGCGTGTTGGGCTCTCTCCATGGAGCTGTCTTCTTGGCATGTATGGAGAAGGGTGGGGGAGTGGCAATGAAGAAACATCATGGGTCTGAAGTTTGTACCAGTGTGGCTCATCATCTAACAAAGCTGTTTCCAATTCAATTAAAATCTACAAACCGAAGACATAAAAACCAATTATATCAAGAATAAAGAAATCTCTTCAATGGTTTTATAACTTTTATAATATTATCACAGTAATGCAAAATTTAATGTTGCCAAGTTTTCAGCAATTGTTTGACAGTAACTAAATGAGAAACAATTTTACTTCTTATTGATTTTTATACTTTAAATAGCTACATTTCTTATATAGACCTTTATTATTATACTATGCTATACTATATTATACTTTTATCAGTAATATTTAGCTACAAGTAAATGGGCAAATACTGTTATTTTACTAGGTATAACCATGCTGCCACATTAATATACACTATACCTACTTAATCCTCCTACTAAACTTGAACTAATAGTATCATTATTTACACTTGACTGAAAAGGAAAAGTGATGCAGGCACAGGTCGACTTGATGGACGGGGGGGGGGGGGGGGCAACTGATAATACCAGAAATATAGACAGGTCCTTGGCCAGAGTTGTTGTTCCCAAGAACTGCAGGATTCTTCTATCCAAATGATTAAAAAGTCTATTACTCTTCAGCTGACATCATTCAGTTCATATTTCGTGGTCCTTTTATTTTACCCATGATATTCTCCTTTCATTTAATCAGGAAAACTAGGTAGACTGAAAAATGTTGAAGCAAATGACTGACTTTTCTTAGTATTATATGCAAATAGCTAGAAAACTCCTTCACCTCTTAAGCTTCTTCAATTCGTTCTCCACATTACAATTGGAAATATTTATCTCAAATTGAAATTTATGCAATCTTTGCTTACACTTTTCACTAATCCCATTATTCAGAGGATTAATCCAAATAGGAAGCATGTTCTGCTGTCCTCTTATCCATAAAGCTTCAATAACTATCACTTTCTCTACCACCTGGAGGCAGCCTACCCAAACTCCTCAACACTGATGCCTCCTTACTCTCTCTGAAGAAATCTCACTCCCTTTGCCTATGTTAAATTATATTCTTATGGATACTTCCTTTGACCATTTCATTCCAGCACAGCAATTATATGTTCTTACTATATTCTACTCATCACAGCAGCATCTGAATCCACAACGCGCTACAAATTCTTGCGGTAAACCCATTGAAAAATGTCAGATATATCATATGGCTTACAAAGTAATTGAGGAATAAATGAAAAATTGGTCCAATACTATAACAAAAAGTTGCAAATACTATACAAGGCAACAATATATCAAGTGGCAATCAAACTTTGTGATCACACACTAAGATTCTTCCCCCGCCCCTTTATTATGATGTGGGGTTGTGTGCTCTGCTACAGTTCTGGTTCTGAGACAGAGACTTACTATGTTGCCCTAGACCTGACTTCCTGGATCAGCTTCCTCAGGAGCTGGGATTATAGGCATACATTGCGACTTACACAGTTTTGCTAACACTTTTTAGAAACATTGTTTTCTTTAGTATAACTAAGTTTTAGATTAAAGCAGCAAATTCATTCTGCTAAATTAAAACAAAACTATGCATATTTTTCAGACATTTAAATTTGTGAATATGCTGCTAACATTCCCTTAAAGGACAGAAGATCTGAGAGGCTCCACCATTAACTACGTCCAGGTACCTCTCCTAGAAATTCACTCTCTTCTTCTCGAACTCTAGCTTGATCCCAAAGGGTAATTTCAAGCATTCGCTCCCGAAATTCTCTTCGGTGGACAGGAGAGTAAATGAATGTCTGGTTCCATTTGGGTTCCAATGTTTTCTTTACTGTTTTTGTTCTTCTCTTGTTTTTATCACTATTTTAATGAAAAAGGAAACAGAAACTTAGAAAAAAGATTTTTACTCTTTAAGTTTTATCTATTTAAAATTTCTTAGGTGAAAAGTCAAGTAAAACATCATATTTGTCATTTTATAGTTGCTGTAAACATTAAAGTTCCTGCTGAATTAAGATACATCCTGCTCTGTGACATAATAAGAGTAACAGCTCAAGTCTTCTAATCACTTAAGCTGCAGAATTTAATTATTAAAAAATTGATAAATTGCAATGTTTACTTCATAAATAAAGAGCTTAGTTGACAAGCAATTATAATAATTTTATGAAGTAATTTTATCTCAAATAAAAAATTATTTGCTTACTTGACATAAAACATGATTTTAAAGACACGTAATATTGTTTTTATATAAGGTAGACAAATTAACGTGTAATGGAAATAGAAGATAATTATCTTGACAGACTTATAGTCAGGAGGCTTTCATACTTATGAACTATCTCTAGTTAGAAAACATCTTAAACTATGCAGCTCACTAGATACATATAGTATAAAAATGCAGCTACTATATGCATATAGTATAAATTGTATTTATGAATTACAAACATGAATTATAATATTAATGTCATTAAACATGTTAAAGTATATTTTAACATACAGTTTAACATTAGTATAGAAAATAAAAAAAATTAAAGATGAGAAGTGTACAATTAACTCTAATTACAACCGACATCTGAAGGAGGCTGGAAAAATAAGTCATTAGCTTAATTGGAGACATGAAAGACAAAGCTCTCACATTAAGAATGAATCTCTATATGAGCAGAAACAGGACTCCTTCCCGAAGTCCCTCAAAAACACAACATGCCACAAGTGTTTTGCAAACTCAGCCACCATCTCCTAAAAAGAACTATGATAAAAAAAAAAAAATCTTATTTTAAACAAGTAAAAAGAAATGGGTTTTGCTGCTTTCGTAAAAATATAACTGAAACCATCAAAATAAAATCATGATATTTAAGTCAAACAGTACAGAAGAACTGTATTTAAAAACAAAGATTAGTTTATGAAGGTATATTTTAAATATATTTCTGAAAATAAAGTAAATCTCTAAAGGTAACTAAATTATTAAGAATACAGTAAACATTTGTTCAATGAAATCTAGCCAAAACTTTATTTTCATTCTAGTACTTTTGGTTTCTGTTTAACTTAAAACAAGCAAAAACTTGACATTTGTATTCAAAATTGTAGAGGAAAGAAATACATTTGTGATCTTAACCAACTTTTCTTCAAAACATGACTTTAACAGAACATAGTACATTAAATCTAAAATATTTTTTGAGTAGCACAGAGAGATGCTAGAGCAGGTATGCCTTCTTTCGCTCACTGACACTCCTAGAGTTGTATCAATTAGATAGCAATTGCTATTTCATCAATGCAAGTATTCCCTTCTGAAAAATTGTCAGGAAATGTTAAATTAATAACTAATGTTTGTTATCTTACTCATGAGTAAAAATGGTGTCAAAAAAAGAGAAAAGCTGTAATGATAGTGTAACTTTCTGAGTATTGCAAAAATTCCTTTTTCCTATTAGAGACAAAACTTTAACACAACCCATTCAACAACTGAAGCTTGAAAAGTATATAACTGTTCTCACATACTTGGTATCTGACAAGTAACTCAGCTGATAAATGACCTGAGTAAAAGGTTCAGATATCTCTCACAATCTTTGAGGTTAAAAAAGGAAAAAAGTTAAACACTGTCCCTGGGCTATAAGACATGGTAAGGAGAGAGATGATTTTAGCCTTGCTGCCTCAAAAAGAAGGGGAAATTAGGTAAAGTAATATAAAACTAAATAACAAAGTTAATTAAGAAAAAATTCAATAAACTTTAAGCATCTTAAAAATTAAATGTGGGCATGTGATATGGTTTAGTGGATTATGGCATATGCTACCTCCATGCCTGACAACTAAAACTAATCCTCAGGACCTACATAGTGGAGGCAGAGAACTGAATCTCACAAATCGTTCTGATTTTCATGTGAGTGCTATGGCATATGCACAAATCACTCTCTCTCTCTCTCTCACACACACACACACACACACACACACACACAGTGAGAGACGGAGACAGGGAAAGAAAGAGGGAGAGAGAAAGAAATAATGTAATTTAAAAATAAAAATATAATAAATTTTTTCTTTAAAAGTATGAAATGTTGAAACCTGAGCAGCATGAGAAAAGTGGCAAAGTTAAGAATGCCTCATTTGTTGCCTGTTTGTGTCCTTTCATCCCAAGGTTTCACAGTAATAAGTCACTGCATACTTACAAACAATGTAACTACAATGTAGCTGAGATATCTATTATTCAGTTGAAATTAAGGTTCTATCTGGCAACTCCGATCAATTTTTTTTTCTTTCTTACATTCCATATGTGTCTCTGGGCCAAAAAAAAGGGCAATCTAAATTGTCAGAGACAATAACATTTTTCAAGTTAACTTTATAACATACTTACTATAGCATAATATGGTAAGAATTTCTCCTAACTCTAAATATTGGGAAATCTTACAATATTCTGGAGCACCGATTTTACAATTTCACTTTAAAAATGTATCATGCAAAGTGTGATTGCTAATTATCTGCCTCCTTTATCTTTCTTTACCCTTAGAGGCTGATCAAATATTGCATGTAAATCTTGTCTTTGGGGCAAGGAATACAAACCTTTTTAGCCTTCCCGCCCTGTAAAACTTTTATGCAAATACTTTAATCCTCTGTATTCATTAAACCCTTTCTTTACTCAAAGGCCCACCTGCATTCCAGAAATTTGATGGCCTGGAGCAATGATTCTTTTCTGTTTAGAGCAATGATCCCTTTCCCTTTCCTTCCTTTCCATTGTACTAATTCTTTTCACTTAAGCCAAATGAATAAGACTCTGAGGTACCACCCCAGTCAATAATGAAAGATAGACACCACAAGAATTACATTAAAAACCAGGTTTATTTCCTGTCTCTGAGTGCTCCCTCTTCTGAGCCCTTTTGATCACAAATTAAATTTGTATTTTGGCATAGAAAATATATATTACTTAAGAAATACATTATGCAGATGCTTAAACTAAATACTTAAATAAAATCATACATAGTAAGTGAAAAATTTTCAAAGTAATCTCAAATACTTATTGTCATCTTTCATATATGAGAATGACTGTGTTTATATAATTTCACAAGTATATGACTTTTGATACAAATAATAATACACATCTGAAACATGCTTTTTTCACTTATTTTTAAGAGCATGTATGTTTTAGTTTAAAATCCATACCTTCTGTCTGGAAGAAAGTAAATTTTAACATAAGGATTCCTGGGCCTCCCATCTTCCCTGGAAGGGAGATCCTTTGCTCCCAAAATTGTAACTATCAACTGGTGACCAACCTTGTCAAACCATAGTTTTATCTGAAAAGCAAAAACGTTCATTTATCAGCTCTAAGTTTACTACCATGTTTACACTTCCAATCTTCACACCAGTCTCTCGTACTAATAGTAAGAAAGACAACATTTTCCCCAGTAAACTGCGATTGGCTAAAAATCAATGGATATATTATAATAACTTCAATGAATAAATGAATTGATTCTGATGTTTTAGTTTCAATTAAAAAGTCACTTGGGCTTGTTACTATCCTGATGTGATAAGTTATTAATGAACATATAATAATTACACTGCTGTATTCTATACTTTGTATATAATGATTCCTATGAATCTGTCTTCATTTAAGAATCACTAGTTCTTTTGTTCACCTTCGCATTGAAAATAAATGTTCTAAATGGAGGGTGTGGGCAGTAAGGAGTAAATGGTATTCAAAGGGGGTTTTCAAGCACATGTTTTTGTCTCCATAGTAAGACATTTCAGAGGATTTAAGAAGACTTACTATATTTTAATAGATTTATATAATTTGTGTTTAAAACTACAATAAATTAACCTTTTAAATTTTTTTAAAGGCAGAGTTTATCTTCAGTAAAAAAAAATACATGACATTCTTAAAATAGTAAAGTTTCACTCTATAATTTTAAGTAAGAAAATGTGTATAATATTGCTTTCTCATTATTAGGGTTTGGTACTTCCTGTCCTCCTGCTCCTGAATTTTTAAACAGTTAATCATCTCTCATAACTTCACACCTTCACCCTTAGCTCACCAAGAATCCTCTCTATCAGAATCTCTATTAGACCTATGTATTACCTAAGAGTCAGTATCTACTACCACCAATTAAAAACTGAAATAGAACCAAAAATTTGATGGTTGAGAATCACAGATTTTAGTTATACAAGAAACATGGCATTTCAGTTCCAATTCCACAATGGTTTTGCTGGGTCCCTCTGTATACATTCCAGAAAGTCAGAGCCTGACTAAACTGTTAAATCAGAAGAGGTAGACCGGCAGCTTAAAAGACCATACAAAATTATTTCTGTGCCTTATTAGGGCTAAAAGAGATGAGCCCTCTTATAGGAAAAGAATAAGACATATCCACACTAAAAAAGTAACTATTATTACTTTTCATGTTTCATTGACTTGAATTTCAAAGTGGTTTTTTATATTGCTATTGTATAACAAGAATTTTCTACCCCCTAACAAGTTCAAAAATAGATCCTCAACAAGATTTTCTTCAGCTACCTCTGGCTTATTGTGGTTATACATTTCTAGGCTACTCTTTCGACTATGAATTAAAATGAAATCTTAAAATTTTAAGAATTGCAGCTTTCATCCAAAGGATGCAGGACCATCCTACATCCCAGGGAAAAACAGGTCTCATGGCAAGACACAGTGATTCACGCATGGAACACCAGCAGTTGGAAGACCAAAGTAGGAGGATTGTGACAGACCTACAAACTTATGGCTAATCTGGGCTCCAAGTGAGTTTGAAGCTACTTGAGCCACAGAGCAAAACCCACTCTTTACTAAGAAATGGAACAACCAAAAACTGTATAGGCCTGGGGACTGACTCAAAAACTTGAAAGGAAAAAATATTTAAATTTTCTTGCTTAGCAATATTATACTACAGATATAGAAAGGTAAGAAAATAGAGAATAATCTGTTCTTTTGACAAAAGCCAAGAGAGAAAAATAAAGAAATTCAAATGTTTGATTGTTCATGGGATGAAGGAAATGTAGTGTCACAGTCTTCTAAAACCTATGAAGACAAGATTAATTTATATATTCTCCACGTTCCTCAGTAATGGCAACTCTTAAAGTATAATGTTTTTTATTTTAAAAGTATTATTTTCAGATTTCCCTATAATGCCAAGAGCTATTCCTCACTGCTGTCATCTGTTTCGTATATGAACAGACATTAGCTTTACTGTTTTCGTACTCCTGGATCAGTATGTCATTAACTAAATTAACTGTCCAAATATATATGTATTAGCACTACTAAATAAGAATCAATCCCATTATATCTGATCAAAATTGGACTTTTTCAGAAATTATCTTGAACTGAGCACTTAATAGGCCTAATTTTCATTTTTATACCGAGTGTGCATTGAAGTTTTTAATATATATCCAGCTCAAAAATATTTTATTATCTATGCTATTTATTATATTCTTAAAACTGTGTTTTAAAAATAAATATTTAAAACATAATTATTTGTTCCCCAAAATATAACAAATGTAACTTCATAATTCTATTCATAACAAGCCTTAGTTCAATTAATTTAATAAAAATATTGGTATCATTTTAATTGTTCAATATGACTATCCTCTCAATTTTTACTATAGAACCAATTTAAATTGTTCACAACAAAACTTTAGCATCAAACATAAATATTTTATATCATATGATATTAAATAGACTTAGTATTTTAATTATTTAAAGCATTATTCAAAGCCAACAATTGTTTTTAAAACATGCAACAAAGCAGGGAAGGCATAATACTACTTTTAAGATAACTATATTGGCATTACTGTACCATATAAACAATATCCTAATGAAAAGAGGCAAACAACTTGTACCCAAGTCGTAAAAGCAAAAAGAATAATAAAATACAAATACGCACAGACACATAATTTATAAATTTGGATTCTTATTTTTGTTCTTTCAAAGTTCAGAAGTTGATTTGTATATATCAAATGAAAAAAATCGTATTTTAAATAAGGTACAAGTATATTTGCCAGTCTCCTCAAGGAGTCATTGCTTGGAAAATGCAAGAGAATGTGGATGTGATGTGGTAGAATGAATGATTTAAAGAGACAGAAACCTTTCTGTAATAAAGAAAAACAGCTAAAGTTTAAAATTAGCTATTTCACTAAATGTTACAGAGATAAGCAAACTCTACATCAAAACTACAGAATGCTACTTTGAAACCTATACATTTGAGTACTTCATTAACTTACAAAATAACTAACAATAATTGTCTCTTTAAATTTGTATTCAATATTCTAATCTCCATGCAGAATTTTACAAGCTGCCTTATAAAATGATTTGGAAGTCAACAGTATGGTTTGGAGCAACATACCAAAAAAAGTGTTCCTACTACGCATTTTCCAAAAACATACAAATAAGGGATAAAACACAACTTTAGTCTCTGTCAGGCAGACAAAGCCTTTACCTGAACCCTAGGAACAAAAGGCGTTGTTCTTCTACTAAGGCTTTGGCTCTGGTAAGTAAAATTAAAGAAAAAAGCAATAAAACAAAACCAAAAAGGACAATATGCTGGAACTAAAAGACCAAAAGTAAAAATAAACACATAACACTGTCCCTTAAATACAATGTTTCTATGACAATATATTTAAATTAAATACTTCAATATAAGAAATAAATATTCCCAAAAGCTAAAATATCTGAAAACTACTCAAAACATCCTAAAATATTACAATTTATTAATCATATTCTTAGAACAGTCAATATAATAGGAATTAAGACTGAGTGTGCAAGAGCATAGTCAGAATTATGTCATTTTAAAGACCGATTAAAGTGAAACCCCAGATCAAGAAAAGTTTACCTTTAAACACAATACACCCCATGATATCCATGGTGATTGGTCCCAGCATACCCACAAGTACCAAATCCATTGATGTTCAAATATTTTTTGTAAAATGGCATAGTACATGCACAAAACATACAAGATCTCTAATGCTTTCAATCATCTCTAGATCAGTTATAATATCAATATAATATAAATGCTACAAATTGTTGATGTATTATTATTTAAGAAATAATTACAATATAAAAGTCTATAGCTGTTAAACAGATTTTTTAAAAATTGGTTCACAATTATTTAGGTGTATGGATCTGAATTCAACTAAAATGGAAGTCAAATTGTCCATAAAGTGTAGTAAAGGTGAGGGAGGACATTGAACCCACTGCTTGATGCACTGTTGAGATATTATAAACTGTCAATTGTGGCGACTAACATCACTGCTTCATTGCTGGTGTCTTTTTCCTGAAAGTTTATGCTCATTACTGCATGATAGTCCAACAGCTGGGGGAGTCCCTGACCTTATCCCCAACATGCAAGTGAAGAAGATACACAGCAAGGTCCAGTGATGCTCCGAACCCTCACAGGTCAGTGTGGCAAACACAGGTGGTAACACATAGCTCTCAGAAGCTTCACGCTCCTCTTCTAAAATTTTTAGCCACTTATTTTCAAATCATTTGCGAGAGTTAAAAAAAAAATAACCTAATTCATAGATCACAGATGCCAATCATAGATCAAGAGTAAAATTGGAGGCCCATCTCTGGGACCAAGAATGGATTTAAGGATATTTAATTCTGCTTCTTCACAAGAGGAGTCCATCGCCTCCTCCTGTTTGTTGTAGATAGTTAAGGGCTTCCTTCTGTCTTTCCCACTGTCACTAAAACTGGAAATGAGTACCGGGAGTTCTTTTGCCCAAGCTCAGGATCACCAGACACATTTAAAACCCAGAGGAAACAACCTTAACAGCAGACTGTGGGTCACCTTTCTCTCCTTCCCTCTCAAAAAATAAGTACCAAATCTGAGTTTTCTTCCTTTTCAAATGGAGATATGACCAAACAGGAAGTGCTCAGATTTGGAATATAATTAAAATGTCTGTCTGAAGAAAGCTGCACAGATAAAGCTTCAGTAAGTAGGGGAGGGGGAGTGTAAAGTTTCCATAGAGGAACTCTCGAGACTTCATTTTCCCTGCTCCCAACTTTATAGTGTTTTAAATAAAATAGGTCAAGAAGAGGAAATTTTTGAAAAACACGTATTACTTTAAAATTGAAGGGTCTACTTTAAAAAGAGTATGTTCTAAGAAATTAATCCTTTAAAGTTTTCCATTATCTCAAAGAACCTGAAATGAACAGCTATCAGATTTCTAAAAATCAACATTTTTTTAAACCTTATATTTACCAATGACTTTATACATTGAAGATATACAATCTGCTTGTACTTCGGTGGCATTTTTAAATGCTTTAAAATATACAAAACATAATATTTACCATATCAAGGCTTAAAATTCAGGGGCAATTACTGCACTGGAAAGCTGTTAAAATTCTTATTTTTTCTATAGGTTTGACCTTTGCCATTACCCCAGGAAAACACCGGAATCAATCTTTTCTTCTCACCAGTGTGGCTGTCTATGCTACAGATCCTAAGTATTTTGTACAGAATGGTGATGCTCTGTGTGACACATCTGTAAGAGCTGTGGCTTCTTCATACAAATGAATCTGAAACAGCATCCCACAATTTGTGAATGTCTAATGTCACTTTTCATTACTCCTTGTACTATGAATTTTGGGACATTGCCTCCTTTTTTAAATTTAAATTTTATTTTTATTAATTACAGTTTAATCACTTTGTATCCCAGCTGTAGCTCCCTCTCCCACCTTCTCCCAATCCCACTCTCCCTCCCTCTTCTTCTCCTATGCCCCTGGGACATTCCCCTCTTGCAATACATCTAGAACATTAAAGTTATAAGAATAAAGTATTAAATCATTAAAGTCCAAACATAAAACTTGAAAGACTGTAGGGCATGCCTTTAATTCCAGCACACAATGGAGAGGCAGAAGCAGGAGTTTCTAGTCCACCATGGAACAAACAGCATGTTCCAAATCAGTATGGGCTACACAGTGATGCGCTGTCTCAAATTAAAAAGAGGTGGGGGGAGGAAAAGAGGGAGGGAAGGAGAAAGAAAGTGGAAGGGATAAGGGGAGGACAGGAAGGGAGGGGAGGGGAAGGAAAGAAGTAAAAGAAACCAACACCTTCATACATGGAGTATTTTTAGATGTTTTCAAGTTTGTAAAAAAGCGATATAAAAGACATACATTTATTCTAAAATTACTTGAATTTCTTAAATGGGCAAATAAAATTGATATTTGTAATATTTAGTAAAAATGAAATGTAAAAATATTAAGATAAATTAACTTTGCAACTATAAATCTACCGAACACTATAATTAAAAAATATAATCAGTAGAATCAACAGTGTAAAGAGTTTCTACAAAAGAAAAAAAAAAGAATCTGAGCCTTTCTAACCTAGAAAGAGAACACTACGTATTTTGGTCTAACAGCCTATCGAACTACTAACCAAATACTAAAAGCAGATTTAAAATTAGAGTTATGAAAGTTGCCTTGCAAATGAAGAAACAGCTAACATAAAGTCAAATAAGGAAGTGCTGCCAATGGGCTAACAGGGCTCAGAAAGAACAAATAAAACTTAATTGGGATCATTCTGACTTTCTCAGTATATTAGTGGTGCTTCCGGACGTAAGTCCTAGAATAATACGCAGTCACAGGACTCAATACGGGGAGGAAATTAATCACACATACGTTCAAAAAATTAATCAACAGCTTTGAGTATAAAAATAACAACTATTTATTATGTGTTTTCTATTTTAAAAAATATCAGCAAAGGAAGTACACAGTAGGAAGATCAGCACAAATACATACAAGTACTCAGGTGTTGAGGCATTAGCCATGTCATGATTTAATGAGAAATGAACCAGAGTAGAATTTCTCAGAAGCAGAAATGCTCAAAGACGGGAGACAATGAGGGTGCAATGGTTAAGGGTAACCATCAACCTGGACGACTCCACAACCATCTGAGAAGTGGCCATCTAATGCCTCTTGCAGATGATCTAGGTCAGGTCAGTTGGTGGAGAAAAACCCATCTTGGCTATAGGTGAGCCAATCTCTGGACAAGGCCCGAGCCATTTAAGAGAAAGAAAGGGAACCAAGTACTAACATATAGGCACATTCTCTCTGTTTTTTGGTGGATGTAATAGGACCAATTATTTCAAGTTCCTGGTATAGACAGAATAAACTCTCTTTAAACTGCCCTAATCATATTATTTATGTCAACAAAAGAAAAGCCATGAGAGAAAGATAGAGCTAATGCTTCTAAAAAGTTTTCATAAGAAATGATATAAGGAGGCATATTTTAAACTCCTACATCATCATATCAAACAGAAATTGCCTGTAGGCCAATTCAGATACAGAGATAAACTAGTAAGAAACTCAGGAGTGCATTCTGGCTTAAGCTGACCTAATACAAAGGAAATGAATGAAATTAAAAGTTATATGATAATAAAAGACATTCTATCTTATTCACTTATATTCATGGGGTGACTATAACTACTAACTGTCAGAAAATCAATTTATATGTATGTACACACTTACATGTATGTATATACACATAATATGTATAAGATCGGTGATTGATAGACTAGATGTGATTGGAACAAATTTTTAATAATCTCAAGCTTACAAGTTAGCATTTGTATTACAATTTTACTTCTATAAAGTACCTGACAAAGTAATTTGCTACAGTAAAAACAAGCAGTATTGGAATTTGCCGAAGTATTTCAGTGGCATGATTATTTGTACTATTATATATACACTAGAAGTTAAAATAAGTGCACTGCTGGAAACCTGAAAGTAAAGTTAAGAGAAATTTTAAATACATGACAAAGTCTGTAAGTTAACATAGAAAAAGCAGAATATACACCATGTGTGCAGAACTCACCTACAATCACAGAACTTCTAAGGCAGAAGCTGGAAGGTTACCTGAAGTTCAATGCTAGCCTGCTCTACATACTGCTGTTCAGTCTAACCAGGACTACACAGAAAATTCTAACTCAAAAAAATAGAAGAAAGGCAAAAAATGGAAATGTATGTGGAATTTTAATTAAAATATATATTCATGTATTATAGAAAGTCATATGTAGTGTCTGGATTATTAGTGATTTTACCTTTTGTTATTGATTTCTGATAGTAAACATGAATCACATTAGTAATTTCTATCTTGTTTGTATGTAATTTGAGTGTGTATCTATATATAATTTAAAAATATTTGCAATTAACATTTAAATAAATTCAAAGAATATTTTCCCTCCAAGCTATGAAAGTGAGAATACACTCTCCATATTAAGCTATAATAACATTGATTATAACTAACTTCAAAGCTTTAACAGTTTTCTCCTCCTGCCAGATTAATTTTGAATCAGGAAGAAAACTCTTAAGATTAGAATTTATCCAAATCCCTTCCCTGTACTTCCCAGCTTTCTCTCCTAGCACAGTTTGTATATAATCTTAAAATTTGAAATGATGTAACAAAGTAGAACTGTAAATGAGCAATAATGCTTTCAAAAATAGTAGACATTCCAATTACTACTCCTTAAAGCTAAGGGGAAATTTCCGGCTGAATGATCAAGATCGTAATTCTAAGGAAATTAAAATACAATTTTATAAAAGTTTAGAGTTTAATTGTCACAGTTTTTCTTTTTTTTTTCCTTTAAATTTTTTAAATATATTACAATTTATTCACTTTGTATTCCAGCTGTAGCCCCCTCTCTCATTCCCTGCCAATCTTACCCTCCCTTCTGTTCCCATGCCCTTCCCCCAGTCCACTGATAGGGGAGGTCCTCCTCTACTCCCATCTGACTCTAGCCTATCAGGTCTCATCAGGACTGGCTGCACAGTGAGAGGTGATCAGAGAGCCAGCCACTGAATTCATGTCAGAGACAGCCCCTGTTCTCCTTTACTAGGGCACCCATTGGAGACTGAGCTGCCATGGGCTACATCTGTGCAGGGGTTCTAGGTTATCTCCATACGTGGTCCCTGGTTGGAGTATCAGTCTCAGAAAAGACCCCTGGGCTAAGATTTTTTAGTTCTGTTGCTGTCTTTGTGGAGCTTCTGTCTCCTCCAGGTTTTTTTGTTTGTTTGTTTGTTTGTTTATCTAACCCCTTCTTTCATAAGATTCCCTGCACTCTGCCCAAAGTTTACCTATGAGTTTCAACATCTGCTTTGATATCCTGCTGGGTAGAGCCTTTTGGAGGCCCTCTGTGGTAGGATCTTGTCCTGTTTCCTGTTTTCTCCCTCTTCTCATGTCTATTCAGTTTGCCTTTCTGAGTGAGGACTGATCATCTTACCCAGGATCCTACTTCTTGCTTAGCTTCTTTAGGTGTACAGATTTTATTATCTTTATCCTATGTTATATGTTTAATATCCACTTACAAGTGAATATATACCCTGTGTGTCTTTCTGCTTCTGGGATACCTTACTCAGGATGATCTTTTCAAATCAGGATGATCTTTTCAAATTTGCCTTCAAATTTCATGATTTCCTTGTTTTTAATTGATGAGTAGTATTCCATTGTGTAAATGTACCACAATTTCTGTATCCATTCCTCAGTTGAGGGACATCTGGGTTGTTTCCAGATTATGGCTATTACAAATAAAGCTATTACAAACATGGCTGAGCAAATGTCTTTGTGGTATACTTGAGCATACTTTGGATATACGCCTAGGAGTCAGAATGGCTAAGATCAAAAACTCAAGTGATAACAGATGCTGGAGAGGATACAAAGAAGAGGGAACCCTCGTCCATTGCTGGTGGGAATGGGAACTTGTAAAACCACTTTGGAAAACAATCTGGTGCTTTCCTACAAAATTAGGAACAGTGCTACCTCAAGATCCAGCTCACTGTCACAGTTTTTAATCAATATCAATTTCTAGGTTTGAGAATCTAACTTTTCTTCAGTACTCATGAAATTCCAAACTGAACAATCACTAAGGTATTAATAATTACTATAACAATAAATTTGAATGTAAACTAATATGGGAACGATAATGTAAAAAAGCACTTAAATTTGCAAAGCACTTGTAATGAAATATAATATATAATATATAACTAAGCTTTTAACTTGTACTTCCAAATATATAAATCAATGCTCACATAATGAAAAATCACCAGTACACCGAGGAGTCTATAGTCTATTACATATATCTTTCATCACATTTAGTTCTATCTGCTGTAAAAATAACAAAACAAAACCAAGCAAACAACAACAACAAAAACACCTCTAGAAACCTTGTATATCTGAACAATATTAAAAATGCACCCAAAGTTTCCTTAAGATTAAAAAAGCAGAATACATGAATATTTGCTTTTCAGGGCAATGTTTACATGACGTATAATTTTCTTCTATCTCCAAAACTAATAGCAATTCCCAGTCATTTTAAAATGAGGAGTAAAAAACATCATCCCAACTTGTGGAAAAAATTGTGAAAAGTGAAAGGGGCTTACATATTTTCATAAAAATCATTAAACTCTATAACCCTAGCAGTAAATGAAAACACATAATAAATAACCCAAAATGTTAAAGTAATTAAAAGTTATCACAAATAAAAAGTTGAGGTAAAGGCACAATCACATTCTAGGAAGGACTTGGCTTACAGAAAAAAGAAAAAGAAAAAAAAAAAAAAACAAAAAAGCAAACAAACAAACAAAAACCCTAACAACATATTTCACAAATATCATTTAATATTCCCAAAGAGACAAACTTAGTGATTACATACTGAAAGCTGTCCAGATAAGAACTGTGGGACATCCCTCAGCATGCCAGGACTCATGGGAGAGGTAACAGATATAGAAGGACGATCCATTTTCTGAGATTCAAATGAGCTGGAACCTGAAATGACAATTATACATAAAGAATAATAAAATGTCTCTTCGCTATTTCAGAACACTGAGCATATTGCTTTTAAATGTCCTTTTATATAGATCAGTTTATTGCCAGAATGTTATACTATCTTAAGGAGGTTTTGGTGATGTTTTTCTTTTGTTTCTGACAGTTGTTTTTGTGCTGTGTAAGTGCTATTTAGTGATTATCTTAACAGCCACAGTTACACATATTCTGTGCTGTCTTTAAGCAACAGGCTCTGCTCCAGGGTTCACTTGTCTATGAAGTGTACTATACTCACACTTCACAATGAAAAAACATTAAAAATGGAAAAGAAAAATCAAAGCAAAAAACAATAAGCCAACTCAAGACAACCTAAACTTTAAATGCTGAGAACATAAGCACTAGAATGTCCAAAATTACTAAGTGTTTAGAGGTGATTTTTAAGCCATATCTTAAAGAATGTAAAATATTACTCAAGCAGAAATGCAATGCGGGGTTATGAAAAGGATAGAGAATTGCAGAAACAGCAATAACCAAATGTTGTATGTGTGAATTTGTTTTCAGACAGTTGAAAGGAACCAGTTGGAATGTGAACAGAAAGAAAGATATTAGGATACTGGCAGAACTATATACACTAGTAAGAGGAAGACGGCTTTACCAAGGGTTTACAGTATGGATTACAATGAAGAGACAGGAACAGCAATGAGAGTTTAGACCTCAATGAGATAACAGCAAAAGTTGTGAAAGGCATGAACAGAAGGAACACAGGTGACAGCATGAAACAATGAAGATAATGGGGCTGCAGAAGTCGCTCAGTGTAACAGCACTTGTCAGCTACGTATGATATCCTATGCTCCATCCTTAACTGTGTAGGAGGGGAAAAACAGAAAACAGCTGTGAGGAGTAGGGGGACGTAGAAAGATCTCAACTCTATTATCCAGAATAGAAAGTCACCTTTGTAACAGTTATGGTCTCTGAAAGTGTACTGATGTGCACAGTAAACTTAAAACACTGTAAGGGTACAGGAGAGGAGCAGCGGGATCTTACTTTGGAACCACAGTGACTTAAAACTCCTTTGAGACATCCAAAAGCAACGTAAAGCACATAACATATACATTAGACTAAACATCAGGGTCAAGACTAAAGTTTATCAGTCTGTGGAACTATACACCCAGTTAGACATGCACGCACATAAAATTCACCTCTAAAGAGTACATCACAAAGCTGTATAAAAAAGGTGAAAGTTTAGGATCAAAAATAAGTGGTTGATGCCCTTTCACAAAATTTAGAAGTAAAGTAATGATGCATTTGTAGAAGCAATTTGTTATCTCAAAAGGATTACAAAGCATCAGATAACAGGCAAATTAGTAGAGTGTATTCTTTAAGGAGCTGAGGAGGAGGAAACAAGCACCGTTTCTTAGTGAAACTTTGGCCATCACTTAGCTGGCAGTTAAACCATATAGAACAAACAATGTACAGACGTTCCCAGAACACTAACTTAAAGACTGTACTTGGACAAGCCTATACCCAAATGTTTACAGACCAAAAGTTTGGAACAAGTTTGAATGAATATTCTTGCCTGTCCAGAGACAAGTTAAGCAGCATAGCCTGAGGCTTTTTAGATAGCCATCATAATAAAATGAAGGGTTTCCTATTGCTTTTATGATATCTTATTGATATAAGGGGGAAACACTGCCCGCCCCACGGTTTTTTAAAATAGTGATAATGTATCGATAACACCAAGTTGCAAGTATTAAATAAAGTGGCAGCAATGAAAATAGCACCAAATAATTCTAATGTTTATTTATTATGGTACAGTTCTATTTGACCAGGACCGACATTATCTTGCCATTGTCATTATAATTGTTAAATCACTGAGCTTTGCTTTGCTTAGCCTTGACTGCAACCTATAATTTTAATGATAGAATCAAGTGTTAAGTATAAATATATCTTTGGAAGTATTTCCCGGAGTTCTTTCATCTTTCCAGGGCAACTGGAAGTCCTTACAGTGGTTTTAAAGCCTGTTAAAATTGGCTGCTGCTGACCCTGTATCACTCTTTATCTTCCCCAGGCCAGCTCCATGCTGGCACACAGCCCTCGCTGCTTCCTTAAACTTACCTCAGTCTTCCCTGTGTAGCACCCTTGCACTGTCAGGCATTTGTTCCTCGGTACTTGCAAAGCTTTTCCCCATGACAACCACTCTTCCAAGTTTGTTCCAACTACCTGCCAATTTTGGCTATCCTATTCAACATTTTTTAAATGCAACCTTCATCATCTCTTCTAGTATCCCTCAGTCAGCAAAGAAACAGTTTATCAGAAAACAGCTAATTTAAGATATGAAAGAGTAATTTTGAAAACAAGTACTAAAAATAATCATGTATTTGACTGTTTGAATTTATATTGTGGTTGTTCCATTATTGCTATGAGATAAAATTAGAATTATTATCTTAGTTTTGAAAAAATATAAATTAAAATAAATAAAATTATCCACTAGTTTGTTCCAAGAATACACTTCTATAAAGAAGAGTAGAGTTACAAAGTTGCAAACTTTAAAATTTTATGGGAAACTTGGGAGTAGGCAGCTTTTGAAAGTGATGGAAATGGTCATAACATTAATTGAGAAACAAGGGTATGTAAGCAGTCAAAACCCAAATGTATAGTTGGTGTATAGTTTATTAGACCATGCCTTAGTAAAGCTACTTAAAAATCTATAGTAATGCTGAGCAAGGTGGCACACACCTTTGATCCCAGCACTCAGGAGGCAGAGGCAGGCAGATCTCTGTGAATTCAAGGCCAGCCTGGTCTACAAAACAAGTCTAGGCCAGCCAAAGCTACACAGGGAAACACTGTCTGGAAAACAAACAAACAAACAAACAAAACAAAATAAAAACAATGTACAGTAATGACGGCAGGGGTAAAATAAAATACTGAAATCATTATAGAGTTTGTATATTTTAATTATCTGTCTTACTCCGTATTGCTAGGTAAATTTATTCATTAGACATTTGATGACGCTTATTGACATATCCTGAATAAATTAAACTTACTAGATTCCAGTTGTGCATGCGAGCTGTCGGGTATTCTAGGAATATCTCTGAAAAGACAGAAAAAGATTAAAAACAAACGTTTAACAATCTTCAACATCTTCTTTCTCAATCAAAATTAGGAGTAAAAGTGAGAAATATACAATCAGTATATGAAAGATTTATGAAAATAAGAAAAGACCAACCACATGTTTTTGTTTGTTTGTTTTTGGACAAGCTGGCCTAGATTTTTTTTAATTTTTTTTCAAACTTCTATAGAGATGAAACTGGACTTGAATTTTCCAAATAGTTGTCTTTTCCTCCCAAGACTAAAATCACATTTTTGCAGCTAACTCCAACAGAAATTAAAACCTATATGCATTTTTAGCAGATTTATAAACATATACACTTTATTTCCGATATTCCTTACTATACTTTGTATTCAATAAGGTAAGTTTTGTAAACATATTAACTCAATTCTTTATTTTTGCCTTCTCTTATATATAAATTACACTATATAACTCAATTTAAACATCATTAAAACACTGCAATTATAACTAAAAATTTTTAAAATAGTGGTTACATTGGTATCAGGTAAACATGATTCATATATGGATTTCCAAAATTACCTTGTAACTATATTTATGTCAGAAATACCTATACTTACTTGATATATAAATAGACAGTAATCACAAAATTATGACTATAAATTATTTAGAATATTAATATGTGATTTGAATACACTTTAATACTAAAATAGATTTCATTAATGCACTAAGCTGCCACAGTATGGTTTTAGCATATTACCAAACATTAAAAAGGCACAAGGCCACAACACTTATTTTTTAAGTGAATGAAAACAGAGCATGGTTACAAAGAAGAATCTCTGTAGCCTCCACTCATAGATGCTTGTTACCCACTAAATAATTCACTGTCAAGTTACACATTTTTCAAATTTATTTTTGATATAACTTTTATATTATCATAATGAAAGTTTCTATAGAAAAAGTACTGCCAGGGCACTTTATAAATAATCTTCATAACTTGATTTTTTGCCACCTTTGGGAAATATAAGCTATTAGCAATAAGATACAATAACAAAGTGTGTTTTAATGTTGCCTGTTTTGATTTTATTATTTGCATTTGGGGGTGGAAGGTTGTAGACAGGGTTTCTCTGTAGCTTCGGCTATCCAGGACTCACTCTGTAGAGCAGGCTGGCCTTGCATTCACAGAGCTCCCCCTGCCTCTGCCTCCTTGAGTGCTGGGATCACAGGCGTGTGCCATCACACCCTGCTCATTAATCATGGTTTTTAAAAAGGTATTTTTTAAGTAAACTCTGTATCTAGGAGTTATGTGCTCTTTGGTCCTATCTTTCGTAAGCTAGAATTTCCATTTGAAAAACAAAAATAAAACAAATTGTATTAGACTAGAGTTATTGGCTTGTCTAGAATATAGAAGACTAATAAAAACATTTTCTAAAGTAATGATCAAATATTTCTCCTTTTTTGTAATCAGCAACCTATTTTTATCATAATCAGATAAAGAAAAGAAACATTAATTTTGGTCACATGTTTTGGTTAAAGAATCAAGATGTCTACGAAATAACTTACTTTCATAAAGTAGTCAGAGAAGTCTGGATCACACAATCCAAGCTGCTGAACAGCAACCAGCACCACACACAAATGAACCCCTGAAGCTGGAGCAATGGCTCAGGCTAAGAGCACACACCACTTCACTCACGCAGAGGACTAGGGTGTGGTTCCCACGCACACCTCTACCACGGGGAATCTGGTCCTCTTCTGACCTCAGTGTGACCCAGACATTCATTTTGTGCAATACACACTCAAAGAAAACATTCATACACACAAAATAAAATCATTAAGTCTTAAAAGGCAAGTAAAAAATAAATTACTAAAACTGTCTTACCCAATTGGTCTTGAAACAACAAGCTCAACTTGTGGTTCAGGTTTGGACTCTAGAATAATGTTGTAAACTTCCTCAAATGTGGCTCCTTGCAATAGCCGCCCATTCCATTCTAACACTTCATCACCTATTATGTCAGAAACAATCATATAAATACAAGCCAAGTCCACAAAATATACTAAAAGTAAATTGTTGGATTTCAGCAAATTCCAAAAGTACATCCACTGTAACAAAACAATGTACATACTGACAACAACTCAGGAGGCACAGAATTTAATGGGTACGACAGTATTTTTTCACCCAAAAGAACAGTCAGTAGAAAAACACTGTTAACAGAAGAGCTAACTGTAGACACCTAGACATGAGCAATGACAGAGATGAGGCTCTCTTTCAAGGTTTCAGGGTTTTGCTCTAGACCTGTAGTGTATGCGTGGTTAGTTAAGCACTGCTTTTTAAAAAAGTGTCAATCACCTAAACTCTAAAATCTTTTGTAAAATGTTATGTGATTCATATTAAATGAAATCTTTTTCAAAGACTTTAAGGATGTCTCCAATAGGGACTGGAGGAATTGGCCAAATAATACGGAATGACATAATTTAGAAAATGAGCATTCATTGATGAAGTTTGTCTTATAAACAATATTGGAATTTTTTTTTTCAAAAGAAAAATAAAGATTTTGGGAAACAAAATAAGCTACAATTAGAGGCTGATTAAAATACCCATCACTAACATAAAATATACAAAGTTGGGTGTAGTGGTGTGGGAAAGAATCCAGGAGATGTTTGGGAACAGGGATGAAAATGAACAAAATACATTGTATAAAATTCTCAAAAAAATAATAAAAAGCATTTTCAAAAGGTACTGTGTCTAGTATGATACAATGAGTAAGAGATAAAAGTTTTCATTAATGACTAAAGAATTTATGTGAAAGAAACTAATTATTACTAGTCAAATCACTTGTAAATGAGAAGCTTTTTTTCATACCTATTCATGGACAGCTATTCACATTTTTCTTTTGGCAGTGCTAGGAATCAAACCCAAGGCTTTATAACATGTTAGGAAAGCATCCTACGGCTCCAGACCCACAGCCTACATTTTCAATGGAATTAACTAGTGGTAGGAACCTACCTGGTCTAAGATGTCCTACGGTATCAGCTAAACTTCCTTTTTTTACTTTGGTGATAAATGCACAAAGCCGACCTGATTCAGTCATCTTTCCTCCTACAACCTGTTTAAAAGAGGAAAGGATCAAAATTGTCATACTGTTAAAGTGAACATACAAAAGACTCAAGTAAAATCTATCAGAACAATTTAGATTCTGATCTGTAATTCAATGTACTATATTTTATTTCTTAAATAAAGGTGTTGCCATTTGAAAGTAAGTGCCTGCAAAAAGAACCTTACATATTCCAACTTTGTTATAATTTATTTCTCTACTTGTTAAAAATACACATACATTAAAATCATACTGAGTGAGGTAACCCAGAAGCAGAAAGACACACACGGTAGATACTTATAAGTGGAAATTAGACATATAATATAGGATAAACATACTAAAATCTATAACCTAAAGAAGCTAAACAAGAAGGACCTTAAGGGAAGAGCCTTAATCCTATTCAGAAAGGCAAACAGGACAGACACTGAAGTGAGAGAAGACAGAGAACAGGAGAGAAGCCTACCACAGGGGACCTCTGAAAGACTCTACCCAGCAGGGTATCAAAGCAGATGCTGAGACTTATGGCCAAACTTTGGGCAGAGTGCAGGAAATCTTCTGGAAGAAGGGGGAGATAGAAAGACCTGGAAGGAACAGAAGTTCCACAAGGGAACAAGAATGCCAAAAAAATCTGGGCCCAGAGGAGCCCGAAGAGACTGATCAGTTAACCAAGGACCATGCATGGAGAGGACCTAGACCCCTGCTCAGATGTAGCCCATAGGCAACTCAGTCTCCATGGGGGTTCCTTAGAAAGGGGAGCAGGGGCAGTCTCTGGCATGAACTCCATTGTCTGCTCTTTGACCACAGAGAAAGAGGATCCAGACAGTCCTGATGAGCCCTGATTGGCTAGTGTCAGATAGTAGGGGAGGAGGTCCTCCTCTATCAGGGGATTAGGGGAGGGGAATAGGGGATAGAGAGGAAGAAAGGAAAGGAAGGTTAAATGGGGAGGAGATGAGGTTGGGAGCTACAGCTGGGATACAAAGTGAATAAATTCTAATAAATAATAATAACAATAAAAATTTTAAAAATCAACTCAAACATTTCTTATTATAAAATTCTCACTTTTATCATTTCTCAAAATAGTACAGCACTTTTTAATTATATAAACATTTTCGGTATAAATATGAAATATAAAATTTTTCATTACTTTGCTATGATTATGATAGACTACTATATTTGCATTAATAATCTTTTGGTTATAATGATGATATCCATAATGATAACAGATCTTTTGTGAGAAAATTATTTCATTAGAAATAATACAAATTTTAGATTATTTGGAGCTCAATTTTTCTACATTTTATTTTCTTTTAAAATATTTATTGTAGAAGAAATACCCATTGGAAACGCATATTAGGAATGTTGTAGCATCTTATGTAAAATACAACACTCTTAATTAACAAATTACCTCTATGACTGTGGGCAGCCACTATTCAAGCAGTCCAAAGCAAATCTCACAGCAGGTGAAACAAACGATGCTAACTAAATTCCCTGACTTGAGGAAAATGGTTTGTTCTCTTATGAAGTGAATTACAGATCACTGAGATTAAAAATTATTGACCTATCTTATCTCACTCCATGCATACATTCCCCAATCATGGTAAATTATACTTAGCTGCAATTTAGTCAGTACTAATTAATACTATGCTTACCTCTGAAAGGTAAATATAAATTTCTTATAGTTTCACATCTTCATGGAAAGAAGACTGTTGTTGCACAAGAAAATTTAGCAACAATAGCACTGTAATTACAGTCACTGGTGATTATTACAAAATTCAGATACTAAGCTATTGTACTAAATGCTATATACTGCTTTATTTTATCTTATTTCAACAACTCAAAGCACATGCTATATTCTCCATCGTAGATAGGTTAACTGATACTATGCGTTTAGTCTTTCAGTGTTGTGTAAAGAGTAACTACGATGCCCCTTGGTCTGCCCTATACCCTCTTGGTCTCCTGGCTCCCCTCCCCCTCTCCTTACATGGCCTGGCTGAGGGTCATGTTCACTGTGACTTTCCCAGATGTTTCCAGCACAAAAAAAAAAAAAGTAACAATAAAAATAACTACTCTTAACTGAAACCAAGCCAAGCCTTCTTAAACTCTGTCCCATTGTTTTATCATAAACATTCCGCATTTAAAATCACTGTCACCATCTCTTCCTGATCATGGAAAAATTATAAGAGCACCAAAAATACGAAGATGAGAGATGTAAAGTAAGCAGATGAGTGTGCAACACACTATACCACCCAATGTCACCGACACCGACATTTCCCTAAAATCTACTTTTTACTACATTCTAGAGTACCATTTCTGTAGCAATGGCTCAACTCTGAAAGATTTACTCTATTTTATTTCAGTTTTTCATTAGGTATAGTAGACATAACAAAACTTGAAAGAGCCCTATTTGCATATTTGGCAAATAGTGTTCTATGATTTTATAGTTCAAATATAGACATTAATATTTTTTGTCACATGAGATACATATTTAGGGGCTTCCAGATTACAAACGATATATTTGGGGTTAATATAATTAATTTGCTAGTGTTTGACTAGCATACATAAGGGCATTAGTTTGATGCCTGACAGCTGAAACCAAGACAAACTAATTTTCTCTAAAACATAATGTCACATACACTTTATTACATCAATACAAAAATACATTTTCATTTAATGAGTATATTATAACTTCAAATTTTCATACTGAAAAATTAAAGCTATTATTTTAATACTGACATAAATATAGGCAAAATAAACAGTATAGTTTCAAATATATTCATTGCATTTAGGGTTCAAACCTTTTTCTAACCAGGTTATTATCAATGTCTTTCAAAAATGCATGTAAAATTACTATTATGAGCTGCCAGAAAATAACTATGTGTGTGATTGTGTTTACAGGTGTACATGTATATAAGCCTGCATGGATGCTGGGTGTCCACAGTGTAGATGTGCCTGATAATGCATGTACATGTGTGAGTTTTCAGGTGTGCATGTGTGCAAGTGTGCATAAATGTGTAAATTTGCAGATGTACATGTGTGTGAGTGTGCCTGAATACATGTCAGTTGTACATGTATAAGAGTATACATAGATTTGTCTGTGTTTGCAGTATACATGTATGACTGTGCATGGATATTTGTGTGTTTGCGGGTGCAGATGTACATACTATACATAGATGTGTACGTTGGCAAGTGTACTACATGCATGAGTGTTTATGGATATGCGTGCACCTGTACAAAGCCGGAACACAAGCTTTAGCGTCCTTCTTCAACACTGACTTGAACTTTGCCGGGTAGATTAGGTTGGCAAGGCAGCAAGTACAAGAACTCTGCCCAGCTCTGCTCCCGCAGCCTCAGGATCACAGAAGAGCACCACCGCCTCTGGCTGTCCTATGCAGGTTCTGGGGCTCCGAAGCACAGTCTCTCACTTGCAAGATAATCACTTTACCTCCTGACTATCTACCTATCCTGGAAACGTCTTGAAACATACTTGAAACATGAGTTAACAAGAATGAATGACAAAATTTTAGAATTCTTGAAATGGAAATAAGATATCTCCTAAATTGGCATAGAGAGCTACATTTGTTTCATGGACAAATCAGTAAAGTAATATTGAGCCAAAATGCCATAAGGTTTATTACATACCTTTAAGCCCAACATTGCTCCTGAGTCTCGAGGTACACTCCCATCTTTTAAACGCTTATTTAATAAGATACGACCAATTAGGCGATCTCCATCTTTGGATGGCTGCCACGTCACAGGGTGCTAACATACATCAACAATAAGAAAATGAGAAATTACTCTGATGTCAAATCACCATGATTGAACAGTATCTCTAACTTTCAGAATTATAAAGTATTATGATTACACAAACCAGTTTACATTCTAAATTACTGACTTAAGAGCTTACTACATTAGTTTTATAACCCCAACTTTATGAATTCAAGGTTCTCTTTTAAATCCAATTATAGAAAATTGTCAGTTATCTACCACGATACTAAAGAATAACTCTGAAATATTCATTAAAATATATGCTAGCTCAACTTCCTGAAGATTAATTAAAATCTCACAGGCAGAAAAGATACAGTAAAAATCTACTTAGGTTGACCTCACTAAAAAAATGACCAATTCTTCTTCAAACACTTTTGAAAAGTTTTGAAATATTCTTACCCTAGTAAAAGTTAAAAGGGGAAACAGTAAAACATGAAATCTAAACTCATAATGAATATTAAAATTCTCAAAGCTACATAAATCCCCACTACCTTCCCAACTGAACCTGTATGGGGAGAAACAGGATTTGTTCAAAGATTAACAGATTATGTTTTCTACTTCATGAAAGTTCACTGATTTTTTTTAATTTTGGTAGAAGCTCAACCTGCCATTGAGTTCACTATGCAGCCTAGATTGCTCTTGATATCCCTATGTAGCCTATGCTAGTCTCTAAACCTGTGATGATTTTCCTTCCTCTCGGCACTAACACGAAGGTTATAGGCCACCACACCTGGCAAAAACTTTACTGATTGCTCTAGACCTATCTACTCAGTACACTTATTTTAATAGATAATTCAAAGACAGTCATTGCTAAATAACAATAATATTATTAGCTAGTTTCTTTCTTGGGTTCAGAATTATGTCTTAATGAATGACAAACTATTTCATTATGAATAAGATGCTAAGCAACAATGTAAATGATTTGTGTAATCATAGTAACTCCACGGCTACCTAGAAATAACATGCATAACTCCATGCAAAATTCAGCAGGCAAAAGATAAATTCCAGGCAATCACATCTACATGGTAAGATTTAAAAAAAAAAATGCTATACTAAAAGCAAATAAAATAATAAATATCAAAGCCGATGGTAATGGATCTAATACTAATTAATACTACACTGAAATGCTACGACAATAAAACAAAAGAACAAAATGACAGTGAAAGGGAAAAAAGAAAAACAACTTTTTCTGTGCAAACAGACCCAATTATCTCCCTTTTACCTGGGATTCAAACTACTAATAATTTGATTTTCATCCCAAGGAAAATAGATATAAGTATTAAAATAAGCCAATCCAAAAATATTTATTTATTGTTTTTTACAACATTGCAAAGTTCTCTCATTCAACTGTACACAAAATATTCCCTTGTTCCTAAGTTTTATTTTAATTTACTTAGTTTTGGTATGCTGTCAATCAAGTAAAACAGCAAAGAAAGCAAAAGGCTTTTTGGCTTAGTTGTTGAGTTGTTTTGTTTTTCTTTTCTGCACCTTAAGAAAATGCTACATTGACCCTTGAAACGCCCTGTCCTTTTTTTTATGTCCTGTTTTAATGAGTGACAGAGAGCAAACAAAGGAAGACCAAATGAGCAGGTTAAAAGGCAGGCTCCACAGTCGCAGTACCTTATCACTATGGCTATGCTCCTCGTTAAGAGTTGTGCTACTACAGGTATCTACCCCAGAGTCCTTAATCTGAGGCTCAGACCATTCCACATCCTCTTCCAAAGAGTGGCCACCAAAGTACATCATTTTCTTTTGTCTTTCAGACCTGGGGTTAGAATCCGACAAAACTCCCTGCTCACTAGTTTTTCTTTTTCCCTTTTGACTGTCCCCTACAAGTGTGAGATAAAACAAAACAAAAAGACACAAAAAAGAAAACATGCAAAGGTGTAAATAAAAAAGGGAAAGTGAAATGATGACAGAAATTAAAGAGTAAGGCTCCACATGTCTCACCAAAGACATAGGGGAGGCCTCACTGCTATGCCAAGACGCATGGTCCAACCAGCTGTAGTCCATGTCTCCTGTGACAGCGGGCAGACAGGAGTGCAACAAAGGAGACAATGGAAAGCACAGATAGAGAAATTATACACATTTTAAACTGTGGGGCACTGTCTGCTTTTAAGAACTCTATCTGTAGTACTCATTCAATACCAGGAAAATGCTATGAATCCAAATAGATTTTATAAAATGCAAAATATAAGGCTTTTGTTGTCTAGACAGACCTACATTGCAAAAGCCCTGCAAAAGTTTTTAAAAATAGAATATTTTTGCTAATGATAAGTAAAAGTAGAAGCAAAAATAGTTGCATAAATTGATTAAGACAAAGACTGATCAGAGATGTCTGGTTTTGAGTCAATTTATTTTTCCATGCTGGTATAAAGCCATGAGTTTTTTTCTCAAAAGACTGGTGAAAGTTTGAAAATTAAACAGTGGCTCAGCAATAACTATTATTTTAAATCCAAATAATTAAACATTGTGCCTGGAATGAAATATGACAATATTTATAATGATAACTTCTCAAAATTTTAAGTGGTTAAAATGATATACAACAAATTTTCTGTGAAAATTATAAAAAGTTTCATTCTATTTCTATCAGTAGGAAGGAAAAGTGAAATAATAAAATTTACTTATATAACATGAATCACTTATTATATTAAAACAACTCATCTTTTTAAGAAATTACATTGCTACAGTTTTGGTAGACAACTTACATTATGGCAATTTGTTAAAATCTATTTCCAAAACTTACTGTGTTATTTACTTTTTTTTCAAAATGGACTTTTTTCAGTCTACATACATATATAAACATATTTAAGCAATATTAATATTCTCATTCATTTAAAAATATTTACTAAATACGTTCTATCTTGTGTGAAGCCCTAGTATAAGAAATAACATAGAAACATGTCTACAACAGTGTGAGGAGACACAACAAACTAGCGTGTCAGAGAAGAGAACAAGACACAATGAGAAAAATGTGAGTTACAATTTAGATGAGAGTCCCCAAACATTCCAAAGTAAGGACTTCTAAGGTGAGACTGGAAAGACATAATTTCGTGGGGAGGCAAGTACAGGGATAAACGGAAAAGAAAAGGAGGGGCCCTGCAGGAAGAAGCACCAACCCACACATTACAAGTGACCAAGCTGAGCAGCAGCAGGCAGAGGCCATCAGCACACCTAACAAAAGACTGAAGGAGGACACCACGCCAGTGAGAACGGTGCTGCATCACAGAATAGGTTAGGTGGATCTTTTCATGCTGTATGAAACATTAGCATTTCCAAACAGTACGTGAAACCTGACAGAATCTGAATTACACTTTAAGAAGCTGAATCTAAATTCTATAGAGAGACTGGGTAAAAAGAAACCAAAAGTTAAGGTGTTTTCAATAGTCTGCAGGAAAAATACAGATGACTATAACCTACATAAAGGTGACTATAAAGGTTATAGTCACACTAGCTAACACAAGAAAAAAAGAGAATGGAGAAATTTTACTATAAGACTGAATAGTCAATGTTGTCTTTCAGGTTTCTGGCCAAAGCAACTGAATAAAGAAAAAGACAACTTTTGAGAAGACAAAACTATATAGAAAGAACATTTTTTGTTGTTGTTAGAGAAGACGTGGTAATACATTTTTAAAAATCTGAAATGTCATTGACTAAAAAAAATTCATATTTCATAATAGAAAAATGATTTTTAAAGTATCTTGGAATCTATTAAACAGTACTAGTACTCAAAGGTCTATAAGTGACTCAAATGGGACTATCAGCAATAAAGATGGTGAAAGTCCCTAAAACAGCAGCAGCAGAGTCTGAAAACATGTTAGAAATACATACACAGATACTCTAGATCCAGTGAATCAAAAGGATTAGTGGAGCCTAGTAACCTGTCCTGACAAGACTTCCAAGCAATTACATGTCTAATGTTTTGATATGGTAATGTGATGCTACAAATGTAGGCTACAAATGTGTGGGGCCACATCCATAGCTATGTGAGGACAACGACACATACAAACGTGTGGAACCACATCCATAGCTATGTGAGGACAACGACACATACAAACGTGTGGGACCACATTCATAGCTATGTGAGGAAAACGACACACATAGCCAAGAGACTGGAGACAATTATCTCTAAAAATTTGTTTGTGAAAACAAGTTAAACTGTGTTATCTAATACATACAAAATAAAATGTATAGAATTTTACCAGTAGTTGAGAAAGGTGCTTCTCAAACAACTTTATAACATAGATAAAAATTAGAATTCCACACACAGACAGATGGGGATGACCAGCCTGTTGTATGTTTATGCCTCTGCATGGGACTACTCAAGATCCTCACAATATTTATGCCATAAAACACTAGTTACTTTCTCAGAATATACTCTAGTTAAGCATCTATATGTTTCTCAGCTAAAAGAGATATGAAGCCTTATAAATCAAAAGTCATGAGTGATTTACATGAAGATTAGGGAATTCATTCAATTCACAATTTCTCTCCCATGATTTCAAACTACAGGAAGGCTAGAAATGTGGCCCTGTACTCTGGAAAGTACCTTTCCAGCACCTTAAGCTACCCAGAGCCAAAGCAAAACCATCTTAGTAATGAAAAAAGGGCGTGAAAGAACCACATCTGACATTGAAGAGCATTAGTTAAAGCAGTAAAACTTAGTATCATTTTGAAAATTAAATACAATATTGACCATAAAACATACAGAAAAACGGTCTTAAACTACTACATTGGCAGTATGTAGACATTAGCATGCTCTTTTTAATTAAATCTAACATGATTTCAAAGGGCAAGGCTAAGATGATAAAATATCCTTTTGATAACACTATGAAAGCATATTCATGGTTCTAGAACAATAACTATTATAAGGCATAAAATGACCAAGTAGAAAAATTTAACTGAAAATACATGACATTTCACAAAGCAGATGGATGGGTCCACTGCAGTGTAGGGAGGACAGAGCAGTGGCACAGTGTCTTTAATGCAAAACAAGAAAAATTACTCTGATAACCACTTATGAGTGAGTGTATACCACGTCTGTCTTTCTGTTTCTGGGCTACCTCACTCAGGATGATCTTTTCTAGTTCCCACCATTCACCTGCAAAATTCCTGATTTCCTTGTTTTTAATTGCTGAGTAGTGTTCCATTGTGTAAAGGTACCACAATTTCTGTATCCACTCCTCAGTTGAGGAATATCTGGGTTGTTTCCAGATTCTGGCTATTACAAATAGAGCTGCTATGAACATGGTTGAGCAAATGTCCTTGTTGTATACTTGAGCATATTTTGGATATAGGCTAAGGAGCTGTATCTTGAGGTAGTACTATTCCTATTTTTGGGAGAAAGTTCCTGATTGATCCTGATTGATTTCCAAAGTGGTTGTACAAGTTTAAATTCCCACCAGCAATGGAGGAAGGTCCCCCTTACTCCACACCCTCTCCAGCATGTGTTGTCACTGGAGTTTTTGATCTCAGCCATTCTGATGGGTGTGAGGTGAAATCTCAGGGTCATTTTGATTTGTATCCCTTGATTACCAAGGACAATGAACATTTCTTTAAGTGTTTCTCTGTCAGTTGATATTCCTCTATTGAGAATTCTCTGTTTAGCCCTGTATCCCATTTTTTAATTGGATTACTTGGTTTGTTGGTGTTTAACTTCTTAAGTTCTTTATATATTCTGGATATTAGCCCTCTGTCAGATATAGGGTTGGTGAAGATCCTTTCCTAATCCGTAGGCTGTTGTTTTGTTCTAACGATAGCGTCCTTTGCTTTACAGAAGCTTTTCGGTTTCATGAGGTCCCATTTAGTGATTGTTGAACTTAGAGCCTGTGCTGTTGGTTTTCTATTCAGGAAGTTGTCTCTTGTGCCAATGAATTCCAGGCTCTTCCCCACTTTTTCTTCTAACAGGTTTAGTGTGTCAGATTTAATGTAGAGGTCTTGGAGACACATATGGCATATACTCAATCATAAGTCAATATTAGACATATAACATAGGATAAACAAACTAAAATCTATACTCCTAAAGAAGCTAAATAACACAGAGGACCCTAGGGAAGTGCTCAATCCTCATTCAGAAAGGCAAACGCGATAGAAATTGGAAGCAGAAGACACAGAACAGGATAGCAGCCTATCACAGAGGGCCTCTGAAAGACTGCTGATCAAGATATTGAAGCAGAGGCTGAAACTCTTAGCCAAACCTTGGGCGGACTGCATGGAATTTTATGAAAGGGGGGAGAATGAAAACTTGAGGGGACAGGAGCTCCAAAAGGAGAGCCAAATAAAAACAAAACAAAACAAAACAAACAAACAAACAAACAAACAAACAAACAAAAAATACTACAGAGACTGATGCCCCAGCCAAGGTCCATGCATGGAGAGACCTAAAACCCCTGCTCAGATGTGGCCCATAGACTCAGTCTCCCAGTGGGGTCCCTTGTAAGGGGAGCAGGAGATATTTCTGACACAAACTCAGTGGCTGGCTCTCTGATCACCTACCCCTCGGGGGTGCAGCCTTGTCAGCCCACAAAGGAAGACAATGGAAGCAGTCCTGATGAGACCTGATAAGCTGGGGTCAAATAGAAGGGGAGGAGGGCCTCCCCTATCATTGGACTAGGGAAGGACATAGAGAAAAGAGGGAGAGAAGGTGAGATGGGGAGGAGACAAGAAGGGGCCATGCTGGGATACAAAGTGACTAAATTGTAATAAATAATAAAAAAAGAAAAGTTACTCATTCTGAAAACCAGAATAAACTAAAGAATCAGAAGCTGAACAAATCTTCAAAGACCTGAGAGTCAGTAACAAAAGATACTCAGACAGTTGTAATTATAGA